GTGTCCGACCTCCCTGACTGGTTTCTGAAACTTGGTTTTGTTTTCAAGGAGTCTTCCTATGAGGGTGAAGACCAGCTTCTCCAGCAGGATGTCAGGACCCTCGAGTTACCCGTGGTCCTGGGGTGAGCTCTGTCCAGGCCCCCTGCCTGGACAGAGCTGTCCCTTAGCCCCTGGAACACTCTGAATCTTTTCCCTAGGGGGTTGCCTCTAAGCCTGCTGTCGCCTTCCTTGAGCAGTGTGGGACTGTTTCTTACCATTGCCTTTGTTCTGCTTCCCATGATGGCTGGTAGCCCCGAGCTGTCTGTAGGGGATTTTTTTCTTGGGAGAGGGGGACGTGGAGGTGATGATACCGCCTAGTACTGCAGGATGGACCTGTAGGGGAGGGGAGGGGCAGATAAAGGAACCCCTCAGGCATTGGGTGGGTAAGGTTGAAGCCCACACGTTTTAGGGAGTGACCCACACCTCCTTAGAACTTTGTATTTCGCAGGGCTCTGTCACATTCCACATCTCACTTCAGCACCAAGACTCTTAAGCAGGCAGGATGTAGATTACTTTCCTTTGAAACATGAAGAACCAGGTACAGAAAAATTATGTAATTTACCTGAGGACAAAAAGCTAGTGACAAAGCCAGGAGGCTCTCTGATGGGGAGGATTCTGGTTAATTTACTTTTTAAAAAGAAATTTGCATGGCTTATAATTTGTTAAAAAATCACACAGTGCAAATTTTAGAGGAGTAGAGTCTGGGATTTTGGTTGGGGCGGGTCCACTATTATAACCAGCCAGATCCTTCTTATCTGGACAGTCTTTTACAAATGACCTATTTCCCAAATAACGTTGAGTTTCCTTGGACATCATAAATAATAACACCATGACAACTATGGGAAAACAGTATGCTGACACCTTGGTTTTCCTGCGGCCTTCTTTCCTTATTTTAGCTGAATGCATAAAGATGCTTCCAGAAAAGTTGTTTTATCCCGATTTACACTTTAGTGAAAAATTAGTCATTTCCTTTTTTCTCTTAGGGCTAGTTTCGCTCTAAGCCCAGGTTCCATCTGTGGAGTCAATGGTTCTCTTTAAGTTACTCTCAATTTAAGTTGTGTGAGAATAGTTTGAGTAGCAGCATCCTTGGAATCACGCTAATACATCTGTAGACATAACTTGAACTTCTTCTTTAAAGAGGAGTATGGGGGCCGGCCCTGTGGCTTGGTAGTTAAGTGCGCGCGCTGCAATGCTGGCGGCCCGGGTTCGGATCCCGGGTGCGCATTGAGGCACCACTTCTCTGTCCATCCTGGGGCCGAGTCCCACATACAGCAACTAGAAGGGTGTGCAGCTATGACATACAACTATCTACTGGGGCTTTGGGGGCAAAAAATAAAAATAAAATAAATAAAGAGGAGTATGAATTACTGCCCAAAGGACACGTCAGATAATCTCCCAGGCTATAAAACCACTCACTTCCGTTCCCATAGTTGATGACACAGACACTGAGGCCAATTTCTCTTACTCTTCTCTGTTGTGAATTTAGTCTTTTTGGGAATTTCCTCCAGAAAATGGCCACCACTGGGTGCCTTTAGGCCAGGAACCTCTCCTTTATCCCAGAGCTGGGATATATGAAAGGTCAAGGGATCTATGTCCCCGAGCCATAAAAATGGCCAGGGAGGCCTGGATAATGTCTGTGCATGTGACCTGTGCCAACATGGGTTTAAGAAAACCATTCTTCTGGCCAGCAGCACAGTCTGGCAGGCACGCAAGCCTGTGAGGTATACCACTTTATTTTGGATCCAGCCGAGAGAAGTAGCTCACATACAGTGGAGCCCTCATGTGCCAGGCAGGGGGCTAATGGCTTTGCATTCGTTATTTCATTTAATCCTTATTTTAACCTGCGAGGTAGATAACCACTCCCATTTTAAAGCTAAGAAAACAGGCACAGAGACAGTAACTTGCCCGAGGCCACCCACCTAGTAAGAGGAGCTGGATCTGGAGGCAGGGCAGGACTCCTGGGGCCCGGTCTCGTTAACCACAGTGCAACACGGCCTCCAGGAAACTACCACAAGAGGGCACCCTGCTCACGTCCACTCCAGTTAAAGCTGTGGTGTTTTGTTTTTCCGCCTGGGAGTGTGGGGTGGGGCACAGTTCGTGCATTCTTTTTTCCCAGTTTCTTTCTGTCCAAATACTGAGGCTCCTTCAGTATTGGAAAGTTTCAGATGGATGTAAATTACAGTGACCACCAGTGTCGGTCACTGTAATTTCATGCCTAAAAAAGTAAAACTCCCTGAAGGAAGCCACCGTACTGTGAATAAAAAAGCACATTCAGTAGTAGGAACCAGATCCTCCTTCCTGGGGCAGTAAGAGAAAGGATTGGTTTTAAGGAAAACTAACAGAAAGTTCTAGGCTTCAATCTCCAAGGATGTGGTATTATAATTAGAGCATTTGGTGCACATGGTCAGAGCATATAACAGGAATGTTCTTTAGAAATTGTGACTCAGCCATGTTTTAGATTTCAGGGTAAAGCTGAGAATTCATGGGCTCATTTTTCTTCTTTCCACTTCATCTGACAAATAATCTGAGTGGCAAAGCAATTGGGAAACATTGTCATAGGACAATGGCTCATACCTAATGTTGACGAGTGACACCTGGGCCTTGCAGGACTGGAGATTCCTGTCCAGCCTCTGACACATGGAAGTATGGATGTGGGACGGGGCCAGGCCCCATCTAAACAGGCATCCTTGAGCCGGCTGAGCACACGAAGACAGGAAACGATGTATGTATGTTCTGTAAAAAATCTTCACTCCGTCAGAGAGAATCAACGGCGTTTAAAATGTCTAATAGACAAAATGTGAGAGCAGTGACAACACACCTCAGCAGCTGCTCAGAATCTCTCAGGTCTGTCCATCAGTTCCTGTGGACTGAGGGAGGCAAGGGAGCTTTGCCTCAACAGCCCACGTCCAGCAGAGCCCAGTGCTGGGGCCACGGAAGCAGGCCCAACCCCTGAAGACCTGTGATGCCCAGGACCATGACTCATCGGCAGAAAGAAGAAAATGTGGCAGAAAACTTTAGGGGGGAGAGGAGAGTGGGAAGTGAAGATATGATTCAGGACATCCTGAGGCTCCAGACGAGGCTCAAGGGATAAAATATAACCGGGGTCAAGGCAGAAGGCTACACTATAGCAGTCATCAAGCTTAAATGCTCATTATATTTAATTTCCTTGACAGCTTTAATTTGCTGGTTTAAATCTAGTAAGTATCTGGGGAAGCCAGAGGCCCCACCATCCGGGGCCTGCTGGAGTCATTTTTTTTTTTTTTTTTTCTTTGCAAAAGACAAGATGGCCAGGGACTCCAAGAAGGCAAAGTTGGGAGTAAAATGCGAGCCTTGCTAATAGCTCCCAAGTGACTGACACACAGCCAGGATGGAGCAACTGCCCTCAGCCACTGTAACCAGCGCTTCAGGCGTGGGCAATACTTTAGGACGGGAAGCTGAAGCAAGATTAAGAAGGATCGAGAAGCAAGGTGAAGGCCATGGAGGTGAGAAAGGTGATGGCTCCAAAGGCTGGGCTGGAGATATAAATGAGGATCCATTTTGTGTCAGGCTGACCCTGGCTGTACAAAATCTTTTTATATGTAATTTCTGGATTTTCAAAAAGCAAACCAAAAGAAACTCCACGTTTTGCACTGTCTTGTTGAGAGAGTAGTTAGCACATTCACATTTAGAGAAGCGAGCCGTGCCTGTGGGTCGGATGGGCTCTTTTCCAGGTCTCAAGTCTTGGCATTTCTCGGTCTCTATAACGGTCCACCTGACGCTCTTTCCAGTTAGCTGACCTCTGGAAATGCTGTCACCTGCCTAGCCATGACCAGAAGGGCAAGAAGGTGTCATGAAGTGATTTCAGGGGCAGCTAGGAGCACAGATCAGCTCCTTTCTTGACGCCAGCTATGTGCACACGCACGTGAACCTACAACCTGACCAGCTCCCACCAGGCTTGCCAGCGCCAGGGGAGGGGACACAGAACAGCATTAACAGGAAAGAAGACTCAAATATTTGCATTTCCATTTCGAAATTTATTTCTGGCATTTTTTCCTCTTCTTCTTCTATCCCCCCCCTTACCCTCAATCTGCTTATTCAGGCAGACGATGATCATGATATCAATAGTTTTGCCTAAGCATGTTCTCATTGACGGCCAGAGGAAGGCACCACTGATTTTTTTAAAAAACATTTATCATCTTAATCCTCCCGTAAAATTTGAGAGTTGGTTGTGGTATAATTGCTAATAAAAGTTATATTAAGAAAAAAGATCATCTTTACAAGGCAATCAGTTTATAATTAGTTCATAAGAACTCGTGCCTTGAAATACATAATTAAGGCTGGGTCTTCATCTAGGCAAACCATGTCTCTATCCTTCTTCTCTGAAAAGGCGAGACTGCAGTGTTCCCTTCCACCTGCCGTCCTCCCAGCAAGGATTTCAAAGTCCTGCCTGCTTTGCTGAGTGTCCATGCCAACCCAGAGGTGCCAGTGATACTACAGTTGTCACCTAGGTCACTTCCCTTGAAAACAAATGGGGTGATGCGAGAAGTTGCGTTTGCTTTCTACAAAAATAAATCTACATAATTTGATCAAGTGGTCTTTCCAATTTCACAGGACATAAAACTAGTCTGCTGAATAAGGGTACACACTGTAATAAGCACTCGAGTTGAGCACATCATTAATATCAGCAGAGAGGTAACTATTAATTGGCTTAATTGCTTTGCCCAAGAGAAGAAAAAATATTAACTCTTGCTGGATAGAATCTCATTTTCTAAATTAAGCTTAGCTCCTTAATCTTTTTTACATTTCAAGATTTTCCATTAGAACGTATATCATAATGCTATGAAGCTTGATCGTAATACTGATCCTCGTTCTTAGATCTCCTGTAGGCACACAAAATCTTCCAATTAGCACGTAAAGTGTGATGATGCCTACCTATTTGAGAGTTTTATAGATTTCACAAATAACTGAGAGAAACAAACTTCCATCACAGAGTTAAAATATTTAATGACAAAATTAGAGTTTGCTGTAATAGCGAATCATAGAGCGGGTATTACTTGTCTCTGAAAGAAACGAAAATTATCTTTGACATTTTAGAGAACTTCCAAAGAATTGATAACTGTACAACAGATATCAGCAGTGTCACAATTCTAAAAATTAAAAGCGAAACCTATCTCTTATTTAGGGCATTCTGTAAATATTTTTACATAAATGCACAACTTTTGCTAGCCACAAAAGTAGTATTAAGACAGATTTCACTATAATTTTAAGTCTAACACATCATCTTTATCTTTTCAGAGCTTAAAAAAGGTTAACTACTGATCTTGTTAGATTTTACAAATACATTAATATGAAACATTAACCTGAATAACTGTATACTTCTTGTACACAGATATCTAATAATACTAGTGAAGAATACTACAGCTATGTTCCAGGAAGAAGTGGAAACACTGGGAAGTTGCTTTTCTTTATGCGTCATCAATTCAAGAAGTCCTTCACAGAAATACAGTACCCCAAAAACTCCAGAAATGAAACAGAGACTGTTTTCTAGCAAGCCATTGAATTGGTCCCAAATGAATTGGTCCCAATAATGTGAGTCATTTTAGCAATTTTCTCTAGGTTACATTGTATAATCTTTTGTACTGCAGCACCTTCTACAAAAGGATAGCAAAGAACTTCACGTGTGTCATCACAGGCTCCTCTGCAAGAGGTCAGGAGGTAGAGGGACAGGGATTGCTGTTATAGCCTCTCTGTAGGGTGGAGGCCTAGGCAGGACTTTGACACAGGGAGGTCAAGGGCATGACCACGGCCTGGAAGCAAATCAACAGAAGAAGCTAATAAAGATTCAGATAGGCATTTTTCTAATCCAGGCTATTTCCAATGAGACTTAAGGCTGAAAAGATAAACCGAGACTGAGGAAAGAGACTAAGATGTGGAATACTTACATTTATGAAGCATAACTATCACAATTCCACCAGGGAGGAGGAATCTCCAATTTCACAGCATGCTATGACCTCATCCTCTGCTACTTTAGAAGCAGCTTTGCAAACACTTGTTAGATAGTTGGCAACAAGTTTTATTTTCGAGTTTGGCCAATTGTCAGGGGCTCTTCGATTGACCTTTTCAATTATTTATACCAATTACCTATCTCTGAAGCTAGAATCCAATTTGGGAAGATGAATATCTCTGTATGTGTGTGTGTTTTATGAACCGAGGGCTGCAAACAAAACTTATTTGGAGTGATATATTGGGCTTTTCTTAGAAATTATAAATGCTTCTAATGGTACTCACTGGATAGCAAGTTCTTTGCTTCTTTAAACTTTTTAAAAACCAAAAGTACAAAATATTATAGTAAACTTATATAGTTTACCATATAAGTTTTACAGAGAGTTTTCTTGAAGTGGATCATCTACCTAAGAGGATTCAGAAATTTGTCTCCAGCAAATCCCATCCCTTTGACACATGTTGCCTACGACAATTTTTTTTTCCAATAGCCCAACTTTCTACCTCCCTGGGAATGTTTCATCAGGAGAACTTAAGCTATTTAAATCAGCATAAATAATCCAATAGTCATCTTATGCTGCTGTGTAGGAGGCTACAATACACGAGGACTCGGTCAGCTCAATGGATAGGGAGGAACAGAAAGGGGTCCTGAAGATTCAGGCAGCTTAGAAATCAATGCACTGCAGCGTGGGGCTGAGGAGGTGTCTGGGATGTGCGGCTTGCCTCCTTGTGTCATGATGACAAAGCACAGCTTCTATGTTTAGCATTTTACCCCTCTGAGAAACAAATCTCCCCGACTCTAAAGCCAGTACTCTCTTGAGTAATACAAAATCAGGAGGTATGTGAACCAACTTGATTCAATCTGACTGCAATGTCAAGGATTCATGACTGTGCTGTCTCATGTCAGACTTGGCAAAATGCAATTGCCATGAAATGCAATTTGTCAAGAAACTCACACTTTAAATTACATTAAATAAATAGACAGCAATAACATCAAAACCTCCAAAAATCAGATACCAAGAAACTGAAGGCCATTTCTGAGGGACACTGTGAGAGTGTCTCTAAAACAGCATGACTTTGTAAAAAGAAAAGAAAAAAGGTTTTAAATGTAGTATCTTTTCGTGTTATCATTTACACAGACCTTTATCTGGACAAATCAATTATTGATTAAAATCCAAGCTCTTTTCAATCCAGCTACATAATTTGCCACAACAAAAGAAAGAAACATCCACGAATGCATTGAGGCTTTTAAATAGGCTTCTCTTTAGGTCTTTAATCTCAAATTTTTATCCTTCATATGATAATTCCAAATAATCAGCCTGGAAGCAAGGAGCAGGAAGTATTTAAACTGTAGCTCAGAAAGTAGATTTCTATCTGTGATTCTGATTTGTTCTTTTGAATGCTGGTGATGGCTCATGCAAAAGATTACTAAATAAAAAGCAAAATCTAAGATGGCTGTTTCCCCTGATAAATCCAATTGTTTTCCATAATACAGACTTATGTCTCAGGATAGAGGATCTTAACCTTCAAATTAAGAGTAGCTAGGAGACGGAGAAGCCAATCACTGCTTGACTTTTATTTCCATCCAGGAACAATAACATCTGATATCACCATATTAAAATGTCTTCCTGCTTAATATCAGGGAACAAAATACATGTTGTAGTTTAGACTCAGCTCAGTATATCATTTGGTCCAAAAAAGGGAAAACACAAACACACACATACACAGAGTGGAAAAAAATGAAGCTGATGCTATGCGGCATGTCTTAGCAAGATCATTAGGGAAATGTATAAACACATCTTCTCTTTCATCTTAACATCCATAAAGGAAAAACAAAAAAAAACCTAAATGTCCATATATTGGAAAAAAAGAAGCAAGTGGAGGTCCGGAATTCTTGTAAAAACCGCTGAACAAGCTCTTCCATTTCTCTTAAGAGGGTCACCAGGAGAGGCAGTTTCTCAACATTTGTGCTTCATGGCAAGCTAAGGAGAGAGAGGGATGAGAAGAGTCCAATGTTATTAGCAGTGGGGAGAATCCACTGTGTTGCCCCTTTCCCACATTCACCATGAGAGCAGCACCAAGATTCAACTGGCTGTGGCAGAGCCCCATTACTAGGACACCTAGTAGATGTGCGACATTTTCCCACATAGTTCACTGAGCTCTACATTCGCATGTGGTGTTCCTTCATTCCGCTGAAGGAACAAATGGAAAACCCAAAGCCCAGGCAGAATGAGTGACCTACCCTGGGAACAGAGGTGAGTAGAACAAAGGCCTCTGGGCTCCCGGGTTACCAGTTACCCAGGAAAAACAACACTCCTCAAAGGTAAGTATTTACTGACATCTCATAAATTATTACAAATCAACTACAATAATCCACTCAATATCCAACCTGGACATTCAACCAAGTCCAAGGCACTCCATGACACTGTGGTAATGACATGGGCTGAACAACAGACCAAATCTAGACCTTGACTGACAACCCCTCCCACTGGTATCTGAGAAATGTGGTTTACTGAAATGTTAGATCTGTATAAATGGGAAGACTAAATACCGTTCAATCATTCCCAAGCCCAGATGGAGCCCATGATGACATATTAAAGAAATGCATACAAGTATAAAACATAAAATTAAATCTGATTTTGCTTTTCTTAGCCAGATCCTTTCCAAGGGTCCCATACACTGATGTGAACCAGAAGGGAGACTGAGGCTAAATTGCAATTCCTTAAGTGTCCAGAGTCCGATATTAGGAATTAATCCCTGAGGCTGGGGCTGGGAGTGGCGGGGTAGGGGCCAGGGTTCTGCAATTCTGAACGTTTCTGAGCAAACAGCAGGAGATTCTCTGCAGGCAACGACTGTAGAAAGCCCTGTCATCTGCATCATGACTAGGTTCTCGGCCCTCGAAGAATTAGCAAGGGATCTCCCTGATTCCACCCAGTAGCATTCTGCGTCATCCTGGAAGATGTTGATGATCCATTTCTCTAGCGTAACCCAGGGCAATCCTAGTCTCCTCTTCCTCTTCTTGATGTCTTCAACAAAGAAGTTATAACCCTGGGGCCACCTCAGCTAGGGAACCTGCAAGACCAGCACTAATATCTCTCTCATAGCTGGTGCCCCTGGGCCAGGTCAGCATGTGATGGAGAGGGGACCTGCGGACCTAGCCCTTGTGTTGCTAAATTTACCTCTGCTTGGGGAACCTCAGGTGAAAGAGCTCCCGTCTCAGCCTAAGTGGAGACCTCCACAGACCTGCAGTGCTGATGCCAACAGTTAGTCAGCTGTCAGACAGTGTTTGTGAAGCCCTGAGTATGCTCAGGCTCCCCGGCTAAGTGCTGTGGGTTTTTGCCAAGAAGGATGGAGGTGGCTATTAACTCCTGACCTCGGGGCGTTTATAGTCCAGGAAACACAGTGGGTGGAAATGGCAGAGCCAGGGCTTTCCCTCAATTGGTCCCACTCCCTGGCTACACTTTGAGCCCTCTGCTGTGTGGCCTCCACTTCTTGCTGTGTGTCTAGTTTTTATACATTATTTAGCAACATGGATCACTCAAATCAACACAGAGCTGTTAAGTGTTGTGCGTAATGAATACCAACCATAAATATTTGATCAGTGCTGCTGTCCTGTTATTCACTAAGCTGTTAACCTTCAACTAATGGGCTTGTGCCAATTCACCCACAGTCATTAATCTTCTGCTGCGACCGTGCTGCTGTTCACATCAGGCCCTGATTACCACTACGGCGTGTCTAGAAGGGCGTTAAGGGAGCCCCAGCAAGGTGGGGCGTGGCCAGCTCAGCTCCGCAGAAATACAACTGGATCGTACATTTTGCTATTGGAGTATTTTTGCAGAAAGTGGCATCATTTCCATGCTACCTAGTTTTTTTTTTTTTTAATTCCCTGGAAGTTAGGAGCTTTAGAATACAGAAGGCAGGGTGCTGTTGCTGCTGCAAATGTTCTGTGTGAGCTTGAACTCTCAAGTCACAACTGCTCTGTACCTCAGTTTCCTCCTGTCTATAAATAGCGTCTCTAACTCAGATGCTGATGGATCAATTTAGAGGTCAGGGTCCTTTAGAAGAGGAGTTTAAAATTTCCTTTTGATATTGGGGGAGATCAAGATTTGGCCACCCTGAAATATATCTCTTTACCTCGATTGTTTTCTCTGAGGGACATTTGACCTCCCCCACTAACTGCCTAAAGAATTTGACATGGTGGCTCCTTTCTGGAACAGATCTTCTATCATGATGGCTGTAAAGATAATGTAGGATAGAGGTTACAGTAGAAAAGGCACCAAGCCTCTTTTATCAAAAACTCTGTCTCTCCCTGACCACATTATCTATAGATGACCCTGAAAAGAATTGTCTTCCTGCCCTCTGAAGTCCCAGACCACTACCCACACCCAACACATTCCTTGCCTTTAGCTGCAATACTTAAGCAAGCAGCTTAGACAGAGGGACGAGTTGCTTATTTCTGAGTTTCTCCCATGTATACATGTTATTAAACTTGGTATTATTTTCTCCTGCTAACCTGTCTTGTTAATGATTTGGCCAGCCATAAGAACCTTAAGGAAAAGGGCAGAGGGAGATTCTCCCTCTTCCCCCGACAGTATCTTTTGTTTTCTTAGTATCTCATAGAAAGCTTTCTCTTTCCAAGCTGTGTAAATCACTCCATTAAATAATAATAACAATAATAAATCATTACTTATACTGGGAGGATTCTTTAAAAGGCATGGACTCTTGAGGGCCCTTCTGGCTCAGAGACCCAAAGGGAACAGAGACTGTAGTAGGGACAGAGGCAGCCACCCCCTGCCAGTGAGAGAAATGCCACTGACCACTCCCTCCCCCACAAACGTGGGCTCGTGAAAACAGGGCAGTTCACAGTTCCTTTCTGCGGGAGATGTCCTCTGAGGTTGCCTAGGTGTGGGCACCGCCCTCGCCTGCTGACTCACCACCCGTGGCAGGCATCAAGGAGCTGCACACAGTGCCATGTCATGCTTTTTGGGGCAGGGGAAAGTAAGCAGGCCTGCTCCATGGCTGAGCTGCACTTTTTCTAAGGCCTGAGACTGTGCCAAGCCCACAGCTCAGGAAGGAACCACACTTCCTTAGGCCACGATGAGCGGAGCTGGGGGAAAGGGGATGCAGAAGAATTTTCCATCTGTTAAGCAGGAGACAAGCACGGGCGTACCCTGATGACAGGGTCACGAAAAGGCGATCCACTTACTAATGTACCTGGGTCATTGCAGGAGTCCTGGGAAAAGCTAGAAAGCCAGAGATCCTTTTCTACTGCAGTCTAGAAAGGCGTGCTGCACTCTCCAGCTGGGGTTGCGTGCCCTTATTCAACAGGGAGCACAGATGAACTGTCACCTGGAATTGCCATTCTCTGCTCAGGGCTCTAATATGTGCACTGTGTCTCCACTTGTGGACACAGCCCATTCTTTACGAGTCAACACAGCCACGTGTGTCTGGGGGCAGGGGGAGTGGAAGGCCTGAGTTCCATCTCTGAACTCTTTCCTCCCCAGCAGGTCTGGTGGGGGCTTGGCCAGTGAAATGACATTTTCACCGTCAGCCTATGTCAGTGCGTTCAAATCAAGTCTGAGTCCCTGGGAAAATAGCCACACCTTGTCTAAAGAGGTCAATGCCCTCGTTAGGAATCCCGCCAATGCCGGTGATTCATAAGCACACAACCCAGTTTCAGAAAACTGCACATCTGGCTATAACAGTTTCTCTCTCACGCTCCCTCAAACACACTAACAGACACTAGCAGCCCCCCACCCTCCCTCTCCCCTTAGAACACCCATAGGAGGGGCAACCAAAACAAGTAAGTGCAGACTGTGAACACAGGTAACTGGGTGGCACTCATCTCCCAGTGGTCAAAGCCAGAGGCCCCTTTGCCTTTGGTGGCCTAATCAGGTTCAGTCCTGACAGGCCCCGAGGGCTGCTCTGTGTTTAGAAAGTATCAGCTTTTAGCAGGAGGCCCTCCCCACCCACTTTGGAGGGCACAAGATCTTCATCTCCAATCCCTCCCCATCCCTACATTGGGATCCTCAATCACATTTCTCCAGCTCCCTACAGTGCTCATTACGTGACCAAATAGGTCAGGTTCAGCTGAAACCATCTTTACAGAAATAATTATAACTCATATTAATTTAGATTGATACATGCCAGGAATTGTGCTAAAAGATTTATACGTTTGAATGCATTCAATTCTCTCAACATCCTAGGAGACAGGTACTATTATTAATAAGTCCAATTTTACTGATGAGGAAACTGGGGCTTAGAGAAATTAAGCTCTCACCCAAGGTCACTGAGATGGTGAGTGAAACACAAGATGTTCACAACCATCCTACGCTGCCTTCCCAACTACTCAGCAAACTTGGCCACAATATCAGGGAAACAGGGTGAGCAGGGCCAAGAATTCGGCCATCTGGTTAGGTTATCAAACCCAGTGTTTGGACAACCCCTCTGCGGGGGCCGCCTACGTGGATGACCTCCATGTACCGTCTGCTCCAGTAGGAAGAGCGATTTCACAGACTTCCTTGGTAACCTGGTTCATGGTATAATCATTAACCTAAACTCTTGTTTTAGCAGAATTTTATCAGTGCACTATTGATTGCTTTATTCTGTGTGGTAAGGCATGAAAGAGAATTGCCTGGACTATCATCACCCTTCCCAGACTGGAAGACAATTAAAAATTATTCCCTTTAGTCTTCTCTTTCCCAAATCAGCACTTTAAATGTTTCCCCAGACTTCCCGTGTCCATCCCCCACTTAAATCACGAAAACTGTTGTTGTTATAAATGAAGCTGGGGCTGGAATCCTAGCACGACCATCTTATCATTATCTCTGTATCACGAAGGCTGGAGAAGGGGCGTAGGAAGAGGGGAACCTTAAATCTGAGCTTGCTCCTTCTGACAGTAGCAACAAGCTGAGGGTCTGGCCTCCAGCAGGGCTGCCTGCATTTTCAGACAGATCTGGCCAATTCTCATCCAGGGAACCTCAAATGGGTCCCCAAGGCAGCAGTGCAGTAAGACGCTGTCATGATAGAGAATTGATGACACAATGATACAGGTCTGTGCAAAGGGGATGCAGGAAGAGAAGGCAGGAAGCATCCATTCAGAATTGAATCACAGTCTAGCCTGAGCCTGGGGCTCTGCGAGAGGGCAGCTCGGCTCAGCTGGGGAGATTTTTCTCGCTACTTTTCAGGCTGTCGTTCTTGTTTCTTTAGCAGAAGTGGGGTTTTCTGTTGAAGCAAATTATTTTTTCCCCCAAAGGTCACCTGAAAAGTGTATCTGAAGGGCCAGATCATGAGTCTGAGACGCCAACAGTTATCAGCAGAAGTTGTTTCTGGAAACCTAAATCCAAATCACTAGCCAGAAAAGAACTGCCCTTTGATCTGAAGCATAAGAACAGTAATAAATCCTCTTTATCACCTGACCACCAGGGCCTCTCTTTCCCTTGGTTTGTGACTGCCGTAGATAGCTGGCTGCCAATAAAAACTCCCCTTTCCCCTTCTGAAAGGCGCATTCTTAGCAAGTGTGTGAAGGTGTGTGAGTGTTCCCACGGTCGCGCGGGAAACACTTTTCTCTGGGTTCAGAGGCAGGAGGGGACCTTGCAGGCAGCTCTGCACTGTCAGGCCAGCCTCAGAGGCCCACAGCCCTGCAGAGGGGAAACCAGCCCTGAGGTGTGCTGTGCCCTGGACTAGAGCTTGCTCTTCACACGGTGAAGAGAGAAGAAGGATGCTAAGCTTGTGACCAGAAGAGACAGCAAGGAAAAGTAAGCAGGAACAGCCCAAAGTCCTCTTTCAAGTATTGGCCAAGGGAGGAGGGATATTCTGAGATCTGACCTCTTCCCCCGCCCCCATTCTGTTCCCTGAAACTTGAGCCCTAAACTTCTGGGCAAGAATTAAAGATGGTTCACGTTTCCCAAAGATCCAAGGTCAGAGAAGGGGATGAAGACATCACAGAGGAGATAACTGAAGAAACAGGTACAAGAAGAAATCCTCATGATTCTGGCCCTTCCTAAGTGGCAGATGGAAATTGTATAAAGGGGGGAAAAAGGCTTGATTTTTGTATCTGTCATTATGGGAAGCATACTGAAATAAAGCTTCTTGGCACTGAAGCTCCCTGACAGCGCAGAGCTGAGACCTCTGCCCTTCTGCAGAACTCACCTTGTGTGCAGTTTCCGCAAACTGCTGGGCGCTGTTCTTCATGTCTTCCGTCTTCTCCTCTGCTCGGCCTAACCGCTCTCCACGCTCATTCAAGGCCTGGCTTGCCTTCTGTACGGCACTGGTCACACTATCGGCCGCTGAATGGAGGATGCTGTTTCCTGAAGAAGGACATCAAGAGCATCAGAAGCTGGCTCGGCTGACCCACAGTGACAGACCCCTGCCGGGGTGAGCACCCTATAAGAGCAAGGCAGGTCATACTAGAGAAAGGCTTCAAATGCAGGAAACAAGTCAACATTTCTTCTGATTTGATCTGACTGACTCCCTTGTAGGGAGAACCCCCATTGACTGCCAGACCCGGGCAAATACTTCTCTCACACCCCCATCCCCAACACACCACTCATTTCCACTCTACTGGCATTCTGTTTGGTGAGGCTCAAAAGGACCAGATCCATCTGGATTTAGGACTTGGCTTGCAGGAGTAAATGGAAATCCTGACAAGTTCAGAGAATTAGGCAAGTTCAGTGAGACGTATCTGGATGTTTTGTGCATTTCCTCTTGACCCAGAGTTTAGGTGAATAACCACAGGAAAACTGAAGGCACAGAACTTTCCCAGTATAATGCTCTATATTCCTTTCAACTCTTCCCTTCCATTTTATCCCTTCATTCTTAAATGTATGGTGCCACGTAAGAAGCTCTGACTCAGTCTCGAAGTTCAGAGTATATGTGTCACCCTTGAATACTGAGCCATGGCCTGGTTGGTTGGGCCTCCTTGCCTCTGATCTCCAGTATACGAAATCTGGGGCCTCAGTACCACACTTAGCCAGCAGGTAGAAAACAGAGACAGAAACCAGCCCTAGAAGAAACTTAGACTCGCAGATTCACAAGTGATGATACTGAGAAAGTTGAAAACCATCATATTTCAACAGTTTACGCATCTCTGACATCCCAATTGCCAGGACTGGGAAACAGAATTCAGCAGTGAAGAAATAGCAGATCCATAACCCACCGAGAACAGGCAACTTGCAAAATGACAACCAAAGGAAATTTATAGCTGTATTTTGTTAACACTGAGTGGAAGATATTTAATGGCATTTTGTGTAATAGCTTTATGTCTTTGAATAAGTTTATTACATCACTTCACTTTGTACCTGGGATGGATATATCTAGCCACAGACAGCTTTTAATAGAAATCTAATTTCCACTGGTCTCAGCTGCAAATTTCTCCTCTGTGGGAACAGTCTGTGGTTTGTGGCAAAGGTTTTCAGGCAGAGAAAGTGCCTGGCCCAGAGGAAGCACTTTGTAAATTGTTTTCCATTTTTCTTCTTTAGGGGTGGATTTCAAGGGCTCCCACCATGCACTAAGGGAAGGAGTATGGGGTTAACTTAGTATCACTCAGTTGCGTCAAGCACTACAGGAGCCAAGACAAACCAGCACTGATTAACAGGGACCAGAGGAGATGAGGCTGTGGAGAAATCTGGCTGAATGCGAGGGTTGGAACGGAAGGTCTAGGTCTTCAGAACAGATTTAGGAGGAGAAAGCCTGGTCTCGCTTTGCTTTCACATCATACTCATGACTATGATGATAACCTACCACCACTGCCTAACATTTGACTAGCATTTTGCAATCATAAAGCACCTTCATAAATATTATCTCATTTGATTGTCACAGAATTCTACTAAGAAGACTGAGACTAGCTGAAGTTATGTGGCTTGCACAAGGTCATATCACCAGGGAAGTGACATGGCAAGCACTGGAACCTGGCTTTCCAATGACTTTTCCTTATTCTGTACCTTCCTCTTTGCAGACATGGTGTCAGTCGTGGGAAGCAGTTACTGTGACAGAATTGTGAGCAGACTAGCCTAGATAGGTTTTGACAGGTTATTTCCCAAGGTCACGCCTGACTGTTTCTGTCCTCAAGGTATTCCTGTTGGTAAATGAGGAGTTATTGCCCATGCACTGCAAGTCAAGTGTTCTCAAGAATGAAGAGGCCAATGGGATGGAATGGGAAGATGGAGAAGGGACTGGAAGGTGCAGAGGAGTGGGGGGAGGGCACAAGAAAATCTCCTCCATTTTCTGCTTCCTTCTACATACCCACAGCATAGCCACCAGAGGCTAGGGAAAAGACAAAATGGGGCAGGGAGTCTGCAACCTCACAGGAACCTCAGCCGGGAACAGCTGCCTTTAAAGCAAAGAGATTTTAGAATTGGCTACCAACAAATTAAGAGAGCATATAACCTGGACTTGTCTTTTCCCATTGGAACTGACTCTCATGACCTCAAAGTTGGACACATCTGTGTTTCTCAAATGAACCTGCTCTGCATACGCCATATTGCTCTCCTGTCGTGACTTCCTTAATCTTGTATATGATGTCAGGTAACGCTGCACCCTGTTTTACATGATACCGTTTAACCAAGAGTCGTTATAACTAAAAGAGAACAAAATGTTATAACTAAAAGAGAGAACCAAATGCTGTCACTATTCAAAGATGACACTGCTGACCTCTATCAGTAGAAAATCACCTTCAGTTATTTCCAGGTGTGAGGATGGATTTGAATAAATCTCATTGCCTCAGTTGGAATGCCCTCTCCTGGTTTCAGTTCTATCCATATTTCAGGCCCAATGAAGTCCCATCATCTTTATTAAGCTTCAAGTCAATTCCATCCTCTCCTTCCTCTCAGCTACATAAGAATTCTTTATATCTTTCTTGGGGGCTTAATCAAATATAGTCATGGGCAACTCTTCTGCCTCATTTCTTCACCTGTAGATACAGTGACTTCCCGGCTGGATTATAAATTCCCTGAGGGCACCATTTCACTCTGTTGACCATTTCCTAAATCTTGAATCTTTCTCCTCCTCATTTGGGGCTCCTGGTTGCTTACTTTCTCCTCGGATCCTCTTGTTAATGCTGTAATTCCAGCATCTTTGGCCCTTTTCTCCTTCACCCTCTGCAGACTCTCCCTGGGACAAGTTTACTCAGCTCTTGGCTTCAGTGACCAAATTTTTGTGTTCCCCTAGGTTATGCTGCTGAGCTCCAGACCCAATATTTTCTTACTGGACAACTCCAGGTGAGTGACCCAAAATCATCCTGAATTCAGCATGTCTAAACCTGACCCTGTTATCTTTCCCTCCACACTTGCTTTTCCTTTGGGGTTCCTTGCTCAGTAAATAACCCCACTATCTGCCCAGCTTCTCAATTCAGAAATCTGGTGGTCCAGTTTAGATTTCTCCCTCTCTTTTACCCTATACAACTAAAGGTCACCTCCTACACAGCTCTCTACTCTCTGCCCTCTGTACCATCCTCATTGTCTCTGTATTGATCCAGAGCCTCTTGCCTTCAGAGGTATAGCAATAGCCTTTTGTCTAACTGTCCCCACACCTTTTCTAGTCCATCTTTCACACTTCTATAGTAAACTTTTTTAAAGGCAAATCTGTTACCACCTCCCCACTACTTCAAGATAAAATTGAGACTCCTGCCCTGCCTCTCTCTCTCAGATCACCTCTTAGAACCCTATGCATTTTCCCTCCTACCCGGCATTCCCTAATCCCACGCCTTGTCAAATTACCCCAATTTTCACAAATGTTTCATGTTTCTTTTACTTGTATGCCTTTGTACATATTGCTACCTCTGTCTGGAACTCTGCTTCTCATCTCAGCCTTCCCACTCACTCCTGAGTGCTTCAATATACCTCAGAGCCCTTTCCTAGGAAAACTTGTCATGTCTAGCCCACCCTACCCACTGCTTCCCACAACACACATATTATCTTGTGTCATGAAATAGACATTTCAAATGGTGCATTCATTTTTTCTGCATGTAATTGTCAGATATCTGGTGTGAGCTCCTTGAAGGCAGGGACTGTGTCTTTCTCACTTCTGGATTCCCAATCTATGGTACACAGTAGACACTCAATAAATGTTGGTTGACTTAGAAGCAGCGAGAATATATCATCCCTCTCGTGATTTCTTCATGGCTTAGCAGAGAGTTGGACACATAAGTGATGCTGTCACATGATCTAACTAGGTCCTGAAATTCTGAACTTGCCAAATGACTAAGAATCTGTTTCTAGTGAAATAACTATGTCCTCTAGAGATTGTGCCAGGAATTTAATGAATTAAGTCAACAACAACATGCAAAAAAGAGAATGTTTTTGCTATAGTAAAAGTAAAGGGGGAGGTTATAAAAAATCTGTTATTAGCCTTAAATAAACAACTGTAAGGTATAAAAATAACAGAAGTTAAATAGCTTAATAAATCCATTAATAAATGCAAAAATGACAGTTGCCTGAATACTTACTATGTTCTAGGCACTTACTAAAATCTGCTCCTCACGACAACCTTCTGTGATAGGCATATCATTAATCCCATTTTTACAGATGGGAGCACCAGAGTACAGAGAGAGGTTTAGCAATCTGCCACGAATTACACAGTAAGCGAACAGCAGAGCTGGGTTTTGAATCCAGGAAGTCTAGCTCCAGAGCCAGTTCTTACTCATTGTGTTACATCGGCTTTCCATGGGAATTCTCTTGTATTGAGACTAATGACACAGTCTGCATTAACTGTATGGAATGAAGACTTCAGTGCAGCAGTATTTAATGCATTTCTTAAAATTACAGTACAAAACAAAACATCCTGTTAGTATTATAAGTTAAAAAAACTCACTGTAGAAAATTTAGAATAGACATTACTATAAAAAGGCAATAAAATCATGTAATATTCAATTGCTTAGAGATAACCACAATTTACATTTATGGTACATTTTATCCCAGCAATTTTCCTGTCTATGCTTTTCTAAAACATGGTTGAGACCATACCACATACATTTACTTCTATACCCTGTTGTGGGTACCTTCCCATGTCACGAAAAATTTCTTGAAAATACTTTATAATGGCTGCGTGACACCATTGTAATTTATTCAACTATTTTCCTTTTAGGTATTTGGTATGTTTCCAAAAGTTTTACTTTTTTAAATAAGGCTGCAGTTACCTTCTTGCATTTATATGCACACACACACACACACACGCACACACAATCTTCGCCCACATCTCTGATAATTCCTAGAAATGAAACTGCTGATCCATAGGATATACACATCTTTTTTTTTTTTGGTGAGGAAGATTTGCCCTGAGCTAACATCTATTGTCAATGTTCCTATTTTTGCCT